CTTCCGATCACAAGGTAAAGCCACACCGAAACCGTATTCTCTTTCGAAACTTAGTCTCCGTTTCGCGGTTTGCTAACAAAAAATCGTTTGACTGTTGATTGCAGCCGGATCGACCCGACGAATTGCTTCGGATCCAACAAGCCGGAGGAAGAGTCATCTACTGGGACGGGCCTAGGGTACTTGGTGTTTTAGCCATGTCAAGAGCAATCGGTGAGCATCATTTCACATCACTAGTGTCTCCAATCACGAATCTAACATATCTGGAGTTCTTGAATCTAACGAGACACGCATATGATTTCAGGAGACAGCTACTTGAAGCCCTTCGTAATTCCGGATCCAGAGGTGACGGTAACGGATCGTACGGACGAAGACGAGTGCTTGATCATAGCGAGCGACGGTCTGTGGGACGTGGTGCCGAACGAGACGGCGTGCGGCGTGGCTCGCATGTGCCTACGTGGCGCATCAGAGGAAGGCCACAAGGCGTGCTCCGATGCAGCCCTTCTGCTGACGAAGCTCGCTCTTGCGAGGCAGAGCGCCGACAACGTCAGCGTTGTCGTCGTCGACTTGAGGAGAAATCTTAGTGGGTCATCGTCGTCGTAGTCGAAGACTTAGAGGATGAATCTAGTATTTATTTAGGATTTAACTAGGATTAATATTTACTAATCATAATTTTCTGAAAGTTCCAATTTTCGAATTTAGTTTTATCTATATTTCAATTATAATCGCTCATAATTTTGGAGCATATGAATTGGTGGGGGAGAAAAAAAAAACTCTCATCAGGGAAAGGGATGGAGGAGGAGGAGAAGAGCTAATTAATATTATATGTAGATGTGTATATATGTGTGTATATATATATTTATATAACTGTATTTTAATTTTATGGTGCAAGTGTGCTCTGTATTTTTTTTATCGAATATTGTTGAATTAAGTAGCGAAGGTTTAAAAAAAGAAGTTCGACGAGTTAATAATTATTTTTAATTTTTGATGTTCAAATAATTGATAAAGAGGTTAAGCGTACCAAATTAAAACAATAAAAGATGCGCGGGGGTAAGAGGGAGAGAGAGGACAAGTGGGGGCCAAAGTCTGGGAGTTGACAAAAGGAGAGGAGCCTACCTGTTCAAATCAGACATCGACACGTGTCAGTCTGTCTATTTTTTAAGATTCGGTCTCTAGATTTGATGATGTCGACACTTTCTCCCTATCCATGATGTTGTCTGATCATTGTCTTCCCCATTTCTATCTCCTCATGAAGAGTCGATTATATATATATATATATATTCAGATATTGTGTATCTCTGTTTTAATTATAGGAGGGGTCACATGTCAAAACTGAAATGGACCATTTACCAAATCGACGCTCATCCATCCGTTCTCCAGAGGGTTAAAAAAAAAAAACCTTATCCATTTTAATTTTATGATGAGATTTATGGGTTTGGTCCTTTTCATTCTTATATTTAAAATTTAATAATCATTATTACATTTGATTCTCTTTAAAAAAAACTAATTAAATTAATCAATTCAGAATTCATATTTCTTTTAAATAAAATTGATATTAACCTTAAACGTCATCTAATTCGTCCATTATAAAATTAATTTAATCGTTCCTCTTTGACTTTTCCAGCTGCCATATCAATTGTTTTCATTAACCCTTGATCGCCAACTTGCTAAGTAGCAATAATTTAAAAATGATTATTTCGAGTATATACTCGATATTATTGTATATAATATTTTGTTTAATGAACGGATTTGACACACTTTGCTTTTTTTTAGAAGAGCATGTCAGTCAAACATTCTTCAATCAAAAGCCGATGATGCTTATTCCAAACAAGATTTGACCCATTCATATTCATATTACCATTTTAAACATGAGTTTTGATCACCCTTGTCTTCAACAGTTATGTGTCTGTATATATACACGATCGTACCAAGATTTTATACATTGGCTATGAATATAGATGAAAATGGCTTTAGGGTTTAGGGTCGTCCCAGATAAAAGCACCGATTGCGAAGCCTCTCTTGAAATCCAAGTCTCCTGAGACTGTTAACCCATACATCCCCAATAGTCTATCTATTTCTTCTTCGCTCATCTTCTCGTACTCTTCCCTCTTGTACCTTGGATAGTGCACTGGCATCTGAAACGCCGGCCCCTGCGTCTGCGTTTGCTGCAGCAGCCGCTGCCCCTGCGTTTGCGTTTGCGTTTGCAGGAGAAGCACTGACCGACTCCGTTGGTCAGGAGCTTCTGGAACGTTCGGGGAAGAAGAGCCCGTCTCGTTCTTGTTCTTGTTCTCCATATTGGAAACTTGATAATTAGGAAGCTTCAAAGGGTTTTGTTTTTTATAGCCGTAGGATTTAAGACAACATGCTATCGACGTTAAATACGAAATTAAATTTCGTAATCTCACGCAATCGCTTGAATTTTGCATTTTCGAGTATTTAATCACAACAAAACAATGGCACAAGATTCAAGAAAACGAAGTAGAGGGAGGAGAGTAAGTACTATAAATTTTAAACCCGGAATTACATGAACATATATCTCAGACAAACAAAAAAAAGCGAAAAAGCTTTTATTAAATCCTCCAAATTATACGAAATAAACTCAAAAGTATTACCAAAAAGAAACTCAGCTCGGTCGGGTTTTGTTGTTGTTGTTGTTGTCTGTCACATTTCTTAGTTAGGTCTAGGAGTGGCCCATTCGACACGGAGGATGAGGTTATCATAACCATAGCCATTCAGCTTGTTGATAGCCCTTTGCGCATCTTCTCTGCTCACGAAGTTCACGAACCCAAACCCTCTGCTCACGCCGGTCTTCTGGTCTATCGCCACATAGACACGTGTCACTGGACCGAACGATCGGAACAGCTCCATCAAGTCCGGTTCACGTGTATCCTCGGACAAGTTAGTGACCCGGACAGAGTTCTCATCGTTCCTTCTCCTCATGTCCGAACCACCAGTGGTGGTTCGGTCCGCTCCTGCCCTCATGCTCGGTGGAACATAAGCTGCCTTGCCCGGACCAGATGCCGCGGAGGCAGAGGCAGAGGCATCAGAAGTTGGGGGCTTGTCGATGAAGGCATCGGTTGGAGAAGCGAGATCCTTGTAAGGGCATTTGGATGTCCAGTGGTCACCTTTCTTGTGACATATCCTGCAGACCATGAGAACTGCACCCGCTTTGCCCAGCTGAGACAAGTTGTCGCCCGATACTTTTGGTTCTTCCGCTTTGGTACCTGAATGTATTCAAACAGAGCTCAGACTTAGCATCAGGGTTTAGGCAAAAGCGGGAAATTTTAGAAGTTTCAAGCTTATATTGCATGCTAAACAGTAATAATATGATAGCTAAGAATCAAAACCTCACATGAGATCAGATACAATTTGCATATTACAATTGTTTGGGCAAAGAATCCAAATGTAGTTGGAGGGCAGTAAGTGAAAGCAGAGCTCTACTTTACTACTAGAAGCCACCAACAAAACATCCTCTTGGTGGGTAATACGGCCATTCACATACAGAACAATGTGACTGACTAACGTACCCACCACAACAGAACTTTTACTATAACTCAAGTGCAAAGTATCAACACCTAAATAACATCTTCCTCTACCCAAAGAACATATAGATATCTAGCAAACATGCATTTTTCATTTGTCATAGCACAGGGAAAAAATATTTGATAACTTTATGTACAGCTAACAGCCAAAAAGTGGAGCACAGTTCTGCCAGCACTTGGAAAGGCTACCAACAAAATGTTGCTATTGGTGACATACTGACCAATCACAGAAAGCAGCAGCCTTACGGCTAACATGTGACTGGCTAATTGGTCACCGAGAGGTCTGACAGTTGCAGATAAAGGGACAGACACAACCCAACTTACAGAGTCAACACTAGCAAAGATATTAACACAGATGTGGTTAATGACCCAAAACCAAAGCAGATTAGATTCTGTTTCAATGTTAAAAAGGATCACCAACATCATTATCGGTGTGCTTACTGACCATTCACACAAGCAGAAGCCCATAAGGCTAACATGTGATTGGCTAATTAGCCACCTTAACCAATGCAAAAAAATCAAATGTCATTACAACAACACCCCGTTCTATCAAGTTGTATTGCTACTTTCTTATTCCCATAAGACTAAATCATCTGACAACATAAACAGATACAGATTCTCACAGAAAGCAATCACACCTTCAATAAACGTAATGTCTGATCGAAGACTTTTTCCTAATTCAAATGACTTCAAACCGAAATCCATCCCCACAATCCACAGTTTCAGAAACAATCAATAACCAACGAATCAAAACAAAACAGTATAAGTTTAAGCAACAGTCAGTTACCAAGAAATCAAAACGAAACAGAAGAATCACAAATCTCAAAAAACACAGATATCCAGTGTCATCGAAAAGAGAAAATTTACCAGGAGCCCTGGGTCGTTCCAAAATGATCTCCTCGGTGGACACCATAGTTAGGCGATTTCCGGCGTCCTCACGAGCGGCATCGCCGAATTTGGCCCAGCTCCGCCGCTCTACCGCTCGCTTATTCAACCGTGCTGACGCAAGCTTCCGAACCCTAGTTGTTGTCGTGATCTTGACCTTGTTACCTTCGTCGTTGAACTTGTACTCAATCACCTTCTTCACACCGTTCTCGTCTGGGCCGATAACTTGCTTAGGCGGGAGCAAGAAATCAAGGTCATCATCTTCGTCCATTTCTCCCCATCGGAACTTGCTCTGCTTCTGAGGCTCCACTTTCTCGATGGCCATTGTCTACGTTTTCTTAACAAGTTAAAAAAAAATTGAATCAGATCTGATTAATCATCCATTATGAAGTCACAGTGTCTAAATTCTCTCTTCATTTCCAAAATTTCCCAACAGCTAAATCGACACAGAGCAAAATTTAAGCCATTATCTTTCACAACCGTGAAGAAATCAGCTCTCAGAAACCCTACACG